TTGGTTTGGAAAGTATGACTAGTATTGTGTGCCATCAAACAAACGTAAAATAATTTTGAAAGTGTTAATATAGTCCCGAACTAGTCGCCTACTTGTACAGCCATAAGTCATTTTCTTCACCAGCCAAATTTCGCTAATTTCGAGGCAATGTAATCATCATGTCATTCGGTACCCGCAACCGACATCAAAATCTGTTCTGCCTTACAAATCAGAGCACTTAAAATAAATGAAGTTATTAATTATATATATACAAGCAAGTGACCTTTTTCGCCAGAGCCAAAGAAAGCACTTCGCCCATTCAGCCTACAACACGTCATCACCTTTACCATATCGCAACCCCCGCAAACATGAGTCTTCCAGTGAAGCAGTGCGTAACAAGAAATTGTTTGTACCCCAAACAAGTAAACATACAACAAAACGCATTGCAAATGGCGAACAGACAGAAGAGCAAAATAAAGCGCCACGATTGAGAAATCAATGAAATAACATCGATTTCCCGAACACTGAATGTAAAAAAAGCGTGTGAAAAATTTAATACAGAACAAAATAAGCAGACACAAAATTTGATGATACCATAGGCCAACATACCACCGCACATAGGTACGGTTTTGAGTTCAGATTCCATCGGCAAAGCTACACTGATTAGGTTGGGGAAGCTACAAAGTTGTCAAAAAGGGTACTCTTATACACACATACAACGCATACCTACGTGAATAAGTGGGTGAACGACGTGGAAAATGTAATGAAATGAAAAATTACAAAGTGTGGCAGTACATAGCTTTTAAATATAAGTAAGCAAATATATGTGAAATGCATAAAACTAAAATACCAACAAAGACAACGTTGCGGCAAGTAACGGTGGGCAATAGCAGCAGCAGGACAACACGCAAAAACAGCAGAGCCAGCAAGATTACTAGTGGCTGCTTGGCACTTTGGTGAAGCAGTGGCTGAATTAGAGGCAAATTTGTTGAAATGAGGGCAATTGGCAAGACGCCAACTAAGCGACGAAGCAATCGGCAAAAGCGGACAGGCCGTCACATAAGAACATACATATAGTTTGCACAGCAGCCAAAAAACGAAAACTTTCAAAGTATTCGGCTATGAAATGGTACATCATTTTGTGCAAGCAAATATGTGTCCAAAAGCAGGTGCACCCACAATGATCACCACAGCAACGGCTGGCGTGACTGTGGAGTGATATAGACTGTTGACATGGGGACCGACAACTTTAGAGTGGATTTTGACAGAAGTTACTTAGACTACCTTTGTCCAATACTGCAAAACAACAGTGGATGAGATAATTTTCCAAGACATCATTTGAAAGACAACTAACATATATAAATATATCTTGTAGGGTAGTTCATGAAATTTTTTTAAGGCTATGTATTTCGGATCAGTATAGTAACATTGCTGCTAAATTAGCACCCAAATAAAAAATTAGAGCACTTACCCCATTAACCAATCGACGGTGTCTCGCAAATATTCCGGTATACGCTCCAGTTTGACGGCTGTTCCGGTGCTTTTGGGTGAAAAAATATTGAGTTTGCAGCTGCAATTGGCTGTTTGAACTGGATGTGTTTCGTATTCAGAACCTGGCACCTTTACCCAAAACGGTTGATCTGCTCTGAAACGGCCAGTAAAGTTCAACTTCGAAAGCCCGTATCACTTTCGATTACCTAAACCAGCTGTGGCGTATGATTTATTTTGTATTTAAGGGGTGGGAGTTCACAAATAATGTTATAATTACAACCACCACCAATCCTAGCACTAATCAGCCACCTCAGAGTAAGTTTTTAACTTGAGCCACCATAGCTTATCCGAAGACGCGAGAATTTGTACGCGTACACGCAGTTTCCCTTTTTTTATCTCACTTTGCAGAATTTGTCCACTTGTTTTCCAAACATAAATAATATTGAATAACCGAAAGAAAATAAATTGTGAAACACTTTTTCTCACTGCAACCACTTTTCTGGTTTTCTGTCACTCGCCACTTGCCTCTTTATCAACGTTTACTTTTGCAGTGATTTTTACAAGGTTGCTTCAGGAGGAACGTGCAAAAATGTCCTAAACCTGTTCCAGCGCCAAGGCGAATTCATAAATGAAATCAGAGAACTTAGATAGATAGAGAAGGTGCAAACTGAAAGTGGAAACT